ACTAATCTGAGTCTCATGATATTTTACTGCTTGGATTTAATTGCTTGGATCAGATCTGGCCGATTACCAGTATTACAACCAGGCCTATAAGTTATTCACTGTACTGTCCGTTTGGGCACGGGTCCTTTTGAACTTTGGAACAAATTTTACAATAAACCGTAAAAGTCACGAAATGCTTGATATTTTTGAATTCTACACTCTCTTTAATTATCTTAAGTCAATTACTTTTCAAATTTTTAACCTTTTAAATAATGATTTACAAGGATTTTCTTTTTTAAAAAAATTTTCGCACGATGGCTGAAAATATATATTTGCCTCTATTTTATGAATGTTATGACAGAGAACTGTCAAACTGCTATCACATATTCGGTATCTTATGTCTCTACTTTACATCATAAATAGTACGCAAATCTGCTTAACCATATTCATTTAAATTAAAAAGGTCCTATTTGGAACACGGTCCGATTTAGACCATTGTCCCTTACTATGTAACGAGAAATATTCCTCATTTATTGTTAATTTATTGCTAATTTATTGTTAACGGGTAATTATTTAGATAATAAATTTTTAATAATCATATATCTTTTTAATGTCGCGGTTTACGACTGTAGTTATCAATTATATAAAATGAACTATATTTGTGGTCATAATTAATTATTTATATTGGCAAAATTATAATAATTGGTATAATATTAAATTAGTTATAATGAATTATAAATAGAATGGAATTTAATTTACACTAGTAGTTTTAATTAAAATTGAGTAAATAGCCAGTTATAGTTTATATACATTGTATATTATTATATATTATCAATTTTGCATCGATTTGCATCGACCACATCCAATATGCCGAAGGAATGTCGTATGCTATACAAATTTCTCTTATCACCAGGTTATCAGCAAATAGTATTACGCACTGAAGATAAATAAAATGGCAGTGTCACTGCGCTTGGTTTAGCGCCGAGACACTACCGTGTCTCCAGATATAAAAAATAAAATTATATCGTATATTTCAAGATTATGTTCACGCAGAATTTTTATATACTGTTTACGTTTAATTTACACGAATATTTTCATAGACAATATACAATGTAAAATGTGTAAACTATTATCAATTAAATAACACTATACAAAAAGAAGTAATTAAGTTTTATAATCATTAATATGTCTAATTTTATATAATACTGATAAAAATATATATAAGTATTGCAGTCTAATGCAATGACACAGTAAAAAACATGTAGACTTTGATGATTCATAGGTTGTTTACATAGATAACACGTAAAATATAGTTTACATAGTTTACATTGTGTATACAGGATGAATATTAATAGTTGAATCAGCTTTTTACCATGGAAGATAAATTACCGACTGCAACTGGAAAGAGTATAAGAACACAGACAACACTAAAGTTGGGACGTAAGATATCTTAAGAACATCTTTTTGACGTCTTATGCCTCGATTTTGGATTTTGTATTGTCTGGTACTCATACGCTTTAAATTAATAAGATACATTTACTAGTAATAAAAATCTTTCCATTTATACTAATAAATGGATCTCAGTAATTTTTAATTGTAGATAATAATTTTCTGCGCAACAATTTCCGCGTTTGACTCCCATGTCCATTTTTGTCTTGTTTGTTTGAGTTATCATGAATGCGCATTTCTTAAATTTAATTCAATTATTTTATTATATGTTTTTATTATATTATAGATACGTTCGGGAAGACGCTATTAGCGTTATTTGTGTCATTCTATCTTTGTTTTACGTCTTATAAACGATGAAAATAGAATGGCACAAATAGCGATAGTAGCGTTTCTCTAAACGCACCTCATATGTATTATATCGATTGTGATGTGTATTTGCTTATCTATACTTTCAGGCGGTTATGTTTTAGTAGGCTGGAAAAATTTAAATACCATATATATAATTGTCTGATCATAATTGCAGACATTGGACGGTTAAGGTATCTCGGAAACGCAAATATTCATCAAAAAGTGGGCTTCTTTATGAAACAAACGATAAAAAAGGTATAAATTCTTTCGCGACCATTTAAAGATCGTTTTATTTCTACTTTTTCTCATGTATTGTTCTTCATGGAAACCAATAATTATTAATATAATGATTACACACAAGAAAAGATTTGTTTATTGAAACAGAGTTATTAAAATCCTTATTCAATCGTTACGAAAACGCTGCTTCTCAGTTAATTGTTAGTTAGTTTTCAAAAGCTTTAATAAAATAAAACTTTAATTGTTTCCATAATGCTTTTAGCATTATACATATATGAAACTATTTATTTTTATTGAACTATAACTTTAAATATAAATATTTTTCTTATTATTGTTTGTAACAAAAAAATTTTATTTTAATTTTTTAAACATAATTATTTGCAATAAATTTTAATTTGTAATATAATCAGTTATTTGTAATATGTACTTTAGACAAAGATTACTACAATGATAATAAAATTCTGACTTTTATTTTAATTTTATAAGTAATATTTTTCTAGCAAAATTGCCATTGATTTTTCTATTTCGTATTCTCTCTTTCATTCAAATACATGTGAGAGTGTAACCTCTAACACAATAACATATGAAATTAACAACTAACAAAGAACGTGTCCAAGATTAAATATTTTTATCCTTTAAAGTCCATTTTAAGGTAACAGATTCATGAAGTTTTTATTCATTTCATTATAATAGCCATATTGGGATATACCCTACCAGTATTGAAAATCTGTAGTTTGCTTTACGTATACTATAGATTTTCATTATTGGTAGTATATATCCACGGTCGATGTCGTTACATCTGATATATATTTCACAGATCCATCACCTCAATAATAAAGCTCTTATTAGTTGTCACTCATCGACCGATGCGCAATAGTGGAGTTATCATCCAGGTAGCTATGATGATTCTATAATACACAAACATACAAAAATCAAGTTAAAAGAGCACTCTATATAATCAATAATTCAAAATATAATTTTTATACTTAAAGAATTTTTTAATTGCATTTCAACCAAATATTTTTTTTAATAATTATATATTTTTCAAAAGAGAAACCTTCATAAAAATAAAATTCAGAGATTAATTTTATAAAATTATAGATTGATTTTTCTCTTATTATTATATCTAATTTCCAAATCATCGAAATTTAAATAAATGGGAAGAAACAACTAATTGTAAGCAAATAAGCAATAATACTTACAGCAAGGTTGCTCCATCGGCGCCTGATGCCTCTCCTAGGCCTCCCTTCCTCTCGAATTGTCTTCTCATTCAACTCTTCTTTATAAGTTAAAAATGTTTCTCAGGTTGTATTCGCATCATGATGTGCAGGAGAGTTGTAATACATGCAACACTAATCTGTAATACATGCGATTATATCTAAATAAAAAGAATATATAAATACATTATTTTTAAAATAAATGATAATATATATAGAATAATATATATAATATAATATATAATATAATAATATATGTTACAATGTATATATTAAA